CACCATAGTTGCTCCCATAAAGAGCTTCTGCTGCCAAAGTACCCTGAACTTTGTAAGTCAAGGTTTTGTGAAGTCAGGCATGTTCAGAATATTTGAATGGGCTACAAACTCAAACAGAAGCCACACAATTGGTGTGAATTATTTCTGCATAGCTCTCTGTGTAAATAGTGACAACTTATCATGCTATGGAATTTAAGAACTGGAAGTTTTGTTGAGAAACATTTCAGTAAAACATGAGTAAATCAGAACAACAGTCAAGTATCTCTGTGTGCTCCCACTGAAAATATGTTTTGGTGATTTCCTATGACCTTGGACTGCATATTCTGTTGGTATAATTTTTTCCCTTAATTTATTATTCTACTGGAATGTAATACAGAAATATTTTCCAACCTTTCATTGGATTTGATTTTGTCAAATCAGACAGAAAACAATGGAATTGTGTGCCTGCAGGATTGTAGCCACACTGTTAGACTTAAGTGATATGTTCCGAAATCTATAACTGATCATTTAGTGACTCTACATTTTGCAAGTGAATATCTGAACTAAACTTGGACTGTTTTCTGCTGTGAATTGTAACAGTGTTTGTTATCAGACACCATTTAAGAGAAAAAATAAAAATCCTTTTTCTCTGCCTGCCCTCCCCATCTTCCCTTCTGCTTCATTGTCCCCCCACCCCTTTCTCCTTATTTCTTTCTCTCCCTTCCTATTTCCCTTCCTCATAATTCTTCTCCCTCTTTCTCCTATCCCAGGACTTGAATAAATGTAGCTAGCAGAATCAGTACAAGAAATTTATTATCTCTTTTACAGAGAATAACCTCTAAAGCATTAGGCTGCATTTTTGGTGTACACTTTCCTAAAATTGTCGACAGAATTGAAAACCCAAGTGAACATGACTTTGGGTATAGCCTTTTGGAATTTCTATGAAATATTTTTACTGTTTAGATTATCTCCATTTTATAATTGTATACCTTTATTGTATATTGTATATGGATGTAAAACTTGCTATCTACAGAGATTCCTGCTCACATTTTGACTATCTTGCTGCCAAAGACTGCTCAGGAAGCTTTTCTTCTTCTTTCTGTAGACTCTTGTAAGAGTTAATTTCAGAGGAAAATGGGAACTTTATGCATAGTTTAGGTTGTGATTGAGTGGAAGAGAAAAAGGGAACTCAATACTCTTTACCTCAAAGTGCCTTTTCATTTTTTCTGATGTACACCACTTTTGTTTTCCTGTTTTTCAACTTTTAAAGCCATGTTAAAATGCATACAAACATGGTGATAGGAACCCGTAGGAAAATTGTCAGTACTTAATTTTTGTTCAATATGTGTTATATGTTTATGTTTCCTTTGGGTGTGGGTATCTTTTTCCAACTTAAGAACCAAAAGTGTTACAAAAACAGATGTAGTGAAAATAAGCAAGAGAAGTCTCATTTCCTTTGGTGAATAAAGTTCACAATTAGCTTGAGTGTAATTTTATGCATGTTTTATCCTATCAAACAGTTTTGCTGGCAAAAGCTCACTTTCTTGGATTTATCACAACTGATAAAAGATCTGTGATGCCAGACAAGAATTTAGCTACACAGAAAAGGGGGAAAGAGTCGGTCARATGTAATAACATATTCTAGATGTTACTCCTGCCAACAATTAATGGGGAAATTCATTTTATGAAGCACTGTTTACAGACTGACATCTGGAGGACTTCTCAGCTTGGATCATTTCCAGCATGTAGATTTRTGTACTACTATTCCTGCCTCTTTTACCCCTTTTCCTTAAATATTTCACTTTTCAGATTTGTACAGTTCAGTTAATTGTGAATGAATGTGAATTATTTTGCTGCTATGATTTCTTTTAGGATTTCAGGTGCATAAAACTGAAAATGGTTGCTAAAAAACAGACCCTCAGTGAATACTTATTGAAATGTATATGGAGATATACAAACTTCAAATAGTTTTTTTTAACTTCGAGTAGAAGTTCTGACTAGAGAAGTTAGAATATAGACTGTCAGTAGAACTTTTGAAGTATGAAATGAAAAAGCTTGTAGTCCTAGCAGAAAAGGCCCTTCTTTTTCTTTTCTTTTTTTTTTCTTTTCCATATAGCTGTCTTTCTTAGTTGTAAAATGTTTTTGAATCACAAAATCCTGGTCTACCATAGTTTTATTATTATATTCAGTACTGTGTATGTGTACCTTATCCAGTTTATTTTTCAGTCTAATGGAAGTTTGTGATTGATTGTTTCTCTTCTTTCAGTGTGACAACAGTTTAGTGTGGTCTCCACACCTTTCTTCCTGTGGGAAGTCAYGGGATGTTGTCCAGGGTATCCATTRTTAYCTTGAGGATCTGTGCYGATTGGAGCAAGAAAATGGAATTTCCTTTTAGTTTCATTGGAAGAAGTGGATAGCACTTGTGTTGAGGCAGGTTATGTTTAGATGAGGGTCCAGTCATTCTACCTAGCCGTGAACACATCGGAACAATTTAAGGCACATGTTCAGCAAATTTGAGTAGTTCCTTCATTTTGGAGGGTAATGCTGATCTTAGAAGAGCAAGGTAGAAATGAGGGGGCACAAAGACCTTGGTCCTTATTGCGTCATTGTTTCAAAAAAAAGGTAAAAATATAACTGTTATATTGCTTTCCTGCCTGGTCACTCATTTAAATCATTATTGTCTCAAGAATCCTGGTGAAATTGTGCCTCACAGAGAGCAGTGTTTTAAGTGCATGGAATGCCTTCATGAAACAGTAGCATTTGAAAAAATGGAAACAGTTATTGGCATCCATGCAGTAGTACCAYGTAGTTACTACTCTTAATATTTATGCTGTGTGTTCTGCCTAAATTTTCTTTTTATGTAAAATAGTATGACACTGGTAACATTTCAGTCCTCACTATTTTCGTTAAAAGGAAGTTATGGAAGAAGTTAATTTTGCTTTTAATTGTAATAATTTCTGATGGTATMATGACAAATAAATTTCAATTAAACTCTCGCATTAAAATAAAAATCAGGGCATCCTGCTTCCTTTTAACGAGTAGTGTGTTTTAGCTAATGGCAAAGAGACCTTTCTGAACTCTTCCTTGGTTACTGTGAGCATTGATAACTAAAGAAATATTTTGGCATCAAAGGCCATCAGTTGCCAAGGCTGTGTAAATTACTGAATTTCAGATTTTAGAATGAATGTTAGAAAAGTTATTTCCATGTAGAAATTCAATAGATAATAATTGACTTGGTGAGGTTTTGTTCATGCTGTTACAACATATTGTAATATTAAAATGTACGATGCCACTCTTAATAGTTCTTTTGGGCAAGAAACCTTAATTTTACATTCTGTATTTACAGGTTAATGTTTAAGAGTGTAGCTTTTATCTGTACAAAAAGAATGAAAAATATCTAAATTGTATTTTAAAGCACTGATTTCTATTTCCTCAAATCTTGTAGTTTACAGTCACCATTTTAAAATG